TAGAAATCCCTAATTTCACTATGAAATATCGAATCCTATATTTCACTCATGAAATACTCGATAATCGGGCCTTCGAAGCTCAAAGCGCGGAAATCTAATGAAATCAGAGTGAATGTCTAAAAAGGAACAACCTAAATAGATAAAGATCTTTCGCTACTTCTTTTGGCATACGAGGCACGCGTTCCGTTTTTATTCGCAGTCGTTACCAGAAACGAAACGCGGAACAAGCGAGGAGAAGTACTCAGTCCTTCGAGTGATTTATTCTCCAACAGGGTTCACAATCATGGGAACATAATTTAAGTAATTGATGTTAATAACACTAGTGGTAGTGATAAGCTTAATAAGGAAAAACTAGTGGAAGTACGGCTAGCCCTCTTGAGGTCACACCACTGGCTAATATTTGCGGACCAACCAACTTTCTTTTCGTGCTTCAGCTATCAGGGGTACCAGGCTTGCCTGGTGAAATGAGAACACTGATCAGAAGCCTCCGCCATACATTCCCTAAGCCAGTAACATAAAAAGTACTACTGGGAAATCTTATATCAAGTGGGGGCTAAATGCGCTTCACAAAAGGATTTTCGTCGACGGCGGTTTATATACGTAGAGCTTTCAGAACCTTCGCGCTTGCATGATTAGTGCTCCAAAAGGTGATTCTCAGAGATGGGTAGGTGGCGCGGCCTCAGTTCATTTCTTAACAATCAGATGTCGTGTACGTTTTGCACGGTAATGTCTTCATTTTGGCACCTGGTAACCCCTAGTGCATGAACAAAGTACATTGTATTGATTTTCCCCAATGATGGGCGTAACTGATTTCTGTTACGGAATTTGTCGCAAAGTCCATAATATTTGTGTCACCACCCCGTGTCCAGAAGCGAATCTAATAGAGACGGCCACCGCATGAAACCACATTGCGCCACAAACCACTTGGAAATCGGCTCCACCATCTGAAATTCACAGCATGTTCTATCGCGATATTCTTCACCATTACCGACAAGGGGCTATTATGACAAGTTAATGCGCCTTGGCCGGCGCCCGACGAGAACGAACTTATTCCTCTCTGTGATCATCTAGACATGAATATCCAAAAGATGGGAAAGCTCGCCATTGTCTATAAGTCCCCTTCGCTTGAATCCTTATGCGTTTCGCTATTTCAATCGACAAAATGTACATCAACAATTCGCCGCGCATGGCCGCACGATACTCCGCGCGACGACGCGACTGCCAAAAAAAAAGTGCGATTGTCTTGTCGCTCTAACGCGGCGCGGACGATATGCCAGTCAGTTCATTGTCTTCCCAGATGGGTCAATATAAATGCTTCCATGCTTGTGAGGTTATGGAAGCTTGGTTTGGCGCTGATTGGTGGTGCGGATGATCGGGGTTATTTCTGCCACGATTCTTCGCTGTCAAGAGGCTGGCGTTGATTTCAGAGGGCAGCAGCACTGTCATCTTTTGCAGTTCGACACCAGCCAAAGATTCGCGTTTAGGATTCTATCTTCTTGGAAACGAACACTTTCTACACTGCTTAAGAAGGAGCAGTTGAGGTCTAGGGGTACGCATCGTGATGTGTGAAAATGGTGGTGCAGTCGCTCCCCACCTTCCCTCCTTCCAGAATTTCCCATGTTTTTCCAGAATTTTCAGTTTTTTCAATTCAAAAATTTGGTGGGCGGGAGTATATAGCCATTGTTAAAGGAGGATTTTCCTAGATCATCCCTAACTTCCTACCACTTTTTCTGGAATTTACCAAATATTTTCCTTCTTCCCAAAAATTTTGCTATCGAGCGGTAGGGTAGAGGGGTGGGTATATAGTAGTGGGGTATAATAGTGAGAAGCGAAATTATAAGAGGGAAAATTACGAAATCACAATTTTTTGGGGACCAATCGGAATTTTTCTTTTTAAAACGCTACGGACCCTGTGGCCCAAGGCGAAAAAGTACGACACGTGCTTTTTCACAGCGATGTGCGTTCCTGTCTGGATTATTTCTTTGAGTAGATTGACATCCTTTAATTCAGATCCTCAAACTTGAATGGGAAATCCCCTTTTCAAAAAGCGATTCAAACGGACCAAAGATTCTTCCCTTATTCCCCTTTCATTTCTGCTACCACTGCAGGAAGTGCTCCTCTATCATCGTCCTGACCCGCTTTTCGTCGTAACATTGCGATGGCAAAAACTGTGACCTTCTCATCATTCTCTCCATAAAAAAAAACTCGTTTGTTAGGCATTTATTCCAAATTAATTATTCATTTGTACAAGTTCTACTCGTTTCTGTCCTCGTGTATACTGTAACAATGTTGATTTTTTTATGAACGTATTTTATCCTTATCCTTGTTTGTGTAGATCACCTGGTTATGTTACAGATAACCGGTATTTGGGGCATGCGTTGCTGGTTGCATCCTCTATCACATTTTCATGTACCGAATCGTCAGTGTCGCGCTATTGTGAATGTGACGTGTAAACTGAAAGATAAGTGCGATCAATAACTTGATTTGAATCAATTTTTCAACCTTCAATGAATCATATTTTATCTATCCCGGGGGGCAGCTAGAAAGACAGGAAAGGTGATAATTCAATTTCATAAGCATGTCGCTCAACAATCCACGACAGGCAGATTCGCGCTGAAAACGACACATTCGGTCGATAGTCTTGAGTGTTAGAACGAGTTTGTTCGGCTGCACCTGTCCAACTTCGTAGGTCGTGAAGCCTGCAATGATTCTGTTCAATTTTATGAGGTTTGGAGGAAAAAATGGTATGTTCCTTTTACAATTTTGTTCCCTAGCCGACACATTCCCATAAATAATCAGGACAAGTCACGTCGATTTCTATGGGGCGGTCGGGCGATCGTTCAGAATAGGATCTCGTTATTGCCTGGCAGATCATTTCTTACCAAAGACCTGCGGTGCGTATACGTTAGCGCGTTCAAGTTCTTTTCAATCAATAACAGCGGTCAATAATTTGAAGTCGATGCAAGCGGAACCCAAAAGGCGAGTGGGACCATCAAAATTATCACATGCTGTTGTGAGCTCTCCTATCTTCGGCTCACAAAAATGATTCAGAATCCAAAATGATAAAAAGGGAATCTGATTTATCCAAGATTTTCTATGAGAAAAGTGCATCCCCTAGGCGGCGGTCAGAGACGTATAACTTTTGAGTTTCCTAGCTTTCACAGTGGGGAAACCTTGACTCGAACTGTTGCCAATGACCTAGGAGCAGAGCACCCTTCAACAAACTAACAGTTGCTACAATGAGCAAGTATTAGCGTGATTTCTAATTTAAGGGAGGACAAGAGGGTTTTTTTACCTTGCAGGATCCTGTCGACGGTTATCCGTTTTTCGCTATCTCTTCAGCGAGCAATCAACGAGTAAAGTTGAGAAACTGGTAACGGATTGACCCAAGACCAGTTCTTGAATGCGGTACGTACAAGTTACAACAAGGGATCTACGCCTGTATACACCAACTAGGCCAAAAAGGCTATTTTGCAGGGCTAGGAGTGCGGAGAGGTCTTTGATCCAGATAATGCTTCATTCCACTACGGTCCCTCTCTCGCAAGTCTATCTACTGTGATGGGTTGAACCCTGACTTCGTATGAATACTGCGGACTGCGAATGTAAGCGTCAAGCCAGTTTCCATTTTGTAGATGCGGCACGCGCAGACCATGGATGTCTGTTAATTCAGGGTTTCCGTCCATTCTGACAAGTGTGGCGCAAATTCTTCCGGGCTATGTGGGAGAAAGGTCGGCCCACAGTCTGCTTAGGTGTAAGGTGGGGGGCGCGGGCTGGGGTGTAACCCACCGTGCACTAGTATTACTTAGGTTAGGAAGACAGGCTGCAACCCCTAGCCGGATCTCAGCGAAGGTGTGTTCTTTGATTCCATGCATGAAAAAAGGTCAAGCACTGACTGAACTATCAAAGCGCTCAAGATCGCCCTCCCTTCTTTCCCTTCTTCTCCCCTCCACCCCAACTTTGGTCGCTTCTGCGTCGTGCATTGACACAGACGTTTTTCAAGACACTATCCACTTCTATCGGCACCCCCTCTCCAATCACTGCCTTTTGGGGGTACCGCTATGGCATAAATCTCGCGTAGGAAGCACAAAGATCACCTATCGTACCCAGGTTCGGGGAACAAACGTTACCCATTTTGGACTGACCCACCATTTATCATCTCTATTACCAGCATTTATGTTATTCGGCGAAGATGGTGTGTTGGCCAGCACTTAGCTTACTACCAGCGCGGTTCTGAGATCGGGTCCCACAACGGCTTCCACCGGGCGCTCTATCCCCCCCCTCCTCTGGGAACTCACAATTGGTAGTGATTCGTCAGGGAGGACAGGAACACCGGCTTGTACATAGGCTGACCCCGCAAGTCATTGTATAGGCCATGTCGCATTCAATAAGCCGTAACGATTCTGAATGGAAGTAGAATGCCTGGCGCATCTCAAAAGGGACCGAGCGACAGCTTAATACTTTAGGCTTTTAGGTGCTGTTATTTACTACTACTATTTACCATTCCTTCATGCCCGTTTATTCGAACTAATGAAGTGGTAACAGTATAGTTCTAAGGAACGACACAGCGTCGTCCACAGAAGTGTAATAGAAAGAACTGGAAAGAAAACTGAAGAAAGCAGAACACATACCGTTATTTCCCGCAGTCATTAGGGTTGCATTACCATTTGAGTCAACAGTTAAGTATCCCCATTCATCATGAAAATGATCTTTTGTTGTGTGTGACCATGCCCGTGCTCTGAAAACCTTGCAATGAAATTCTTCTCATTCTAATTAGCATGATATCCAGTGAAGAGACTGTAGCATAATTAGAGTCGCAGACAAGTAAATTTCAGGCGAAGATGACTATCAAAAAAAAACTCGCTCTAGCCAAGGTAGTCTGGTTCTGTTCGTGTGGAACGGTCATTTTCAGTTTTACGACAATTCTCGATGGCAGCCGTATACATTTCAGTTTTACGGAAATGATATAATAAACGTTCTCAGTAATGCTTAAAGCGGAACGATTATCGATCCGAATAGTTGCAACGTTTTATCGATTTTGCAATGGGTGCCTCGCCAATGTTCAGCTCTTCACCAAATGTCATCGTGGGAACAGTTGGCCAGAAAACCTGAAAGTTTATCTTTTAGGGGAGTTTCAGGCTTGAAAGATCAGACGATTCGGCTCTGGGTAGTTCTATTTTATGGTGCGGCACGCACTGTACTCCCACTAGGAGTCCTACACGAGCAAGTCGGTCTACTCCATGGCCTGCTAGACCACAGAAATAGGGGCAGTTTGGCGACGGGTGTGGGGGCATCTTGCACTTTGGCTACTTTCCATCAACACGCCGTCCAATTTAGAGAGCTATTCCGCGAGCTTACACGTGTAGACAGGTTGTACCATGGTGGCTAGACGAGCTTGCTCCAGATTCACAACACTTCACAGGTTTCCCCAGAGTGAGACTTGTAACGGAAACCAATGAGGCACCGAAAGTACAAAATGCCCCCCCCCCTCATAGCCGAACTGCGCTCAAAATTGTACATAGGGTTTCATCTTCTCAGAGGGTCTAGCGAACCAGTTCAACGGCTCCTGTGGGTGGAAGGCCAGCACAGTTCGGCTTGGTGGGGGCACAGAATCGTACTCCACTAAGCTTGTACAGGCCACCTTGTCCTGTAAACTTTTGTGATCAAAGTGGCTCATTCGCAAAGTTCGCAGCTCACAGAAGCTAACAGTCTGAATAAAGTTATCCCATTGCTTAACCAACAAAAAAACTAACAAAGGTGCAGAATGCCCCCTCAAAGTCGAAGAGCGTCTAGAAGGCCTGACTTGCCACGGTGGGAGCCGATCCAGAACTTGACTCTGAGTAGCGCGCATGATCAGCGCCACTGGCCACTGCATCACTTTCGCCTACAATGCTCCACCCCCACCACCAAATCCAATTTTAAATTAAATGTTCAGAGTAGAATCCGATAAAATCACTCACTTTTCCGGAAAATTCTGACCTCCAGCTCCCGACGATCCATTCCAATTTTTTATTATTAGGACTAAGTACTTGATCAGAGAATTGTACTGAAATAACGGCGATGAAAATGCTGAAGAAGGTGGCTGAGCCTCGAACCATCACCGAGTGCGATGCGACTGCAAGGCGAAACCGGTCCGAACCGCCCCACCATTGAAAACCGCTCTCTTTCTTTCTGCTAATGTTATTTTCTCCTTCCTACTCTAAGTATCTAGGAGCTGCATCACCCTGTTAAAGCGTCCATACTATCAATAACTTTTCCCTACTAGCCATCACACTGACATCTCCCCGAATCATCAGAATCCCACGCAAATCCATGACATGATCGTATACGGGATCAGCCATAAATAAGTGGGGAAATGAAAGTGACCGTTCTTGAGTAGAACTGCAGCAAACCCATTGGTTTTTGCGGTAATGACAACTTTTTAGCAATCGCGGTCACAGTTTCAGAGAAATTATTCAAATAATGTTGTTACGCCGTCAAGACCACTATTACGAACGATGTCTGGAAAATGACAAAGGATAAAACAGTCGGTGCTCATAGAACCCCTGTTGGAATAGGCCACGTCAACCTACACCCACCCATGTGAAGGTTTCTGGAATTGCCCTGTTCGGCTTGGAGGGGCTCTCTGCATTTTTGTTAGTTCAATTCAATGACAGGTTAATACCTGTAAGCACTTGCGAAGCTGCGAAATGGTACAAGCGAGCCACCTTACACGAAACAGGAATTCGTAGAACATGGCAGAGTGGGCTGTACAAGCTTTGCTGAGTACAATCTAGTGCCCCCCTGAGCCGAAGTGTGCCGTGAATTTCCCTCGGAAGATTGCTTCACATCTCGTTTCCAGCATAGCGTAAAAGCTTCACAGGCATGCCTCCACCCGTGAGACGGATCTGATTCCACTGAACTCACCTTGGACAGATGAACGGCTTGGAACTTTAACGCGAGTCCGGACCTCTAAAGTGCAGCGCGACGCACACCTATCGCGCCAAATTCTCCAATGACGCTCAGCAAGATCACGGGATTTATTACGTTGACCAATGAATTTTGGGATACTTTGGAGATTGAGCTCCAGGGGTAGGTTTATCTGCTAGTCAATACAATAGATGCCAAGAGCTTCATATTCTATCGTCTGCCCCGCCTCCCACCTCTGCTGATTGCTGTGTTTTACCTCTGGTATGACCCTTGATTGAGACCTGATTCCGACACAGTCCCCTCTTTTTCACTATGGAACTGACGTGCTGGACTTTATGCTAATAGGTGACGAGATTTGGATCTATTACGTCAACTAGACGCGCGTAAGCGATACTGGCGCAAACCGGGAGAGAAGGGAGTCTCAGCGTCCTGAACGAAGTAATGGACGGCACGCTGTTGCAGGTGGAATGTCTTGTCCATGACGGGTTGCCGCTATAACGCCCTACCATCAATGCTAACAGGGGCACTTCCTGTGGGTGGTGAAAATTCCTCAAAATACGACCCTCTCTCCACATCCCACCTACCTCCTTGCCAAGTTCTCCCAGCTTCCTACCACTTCCCTCGGCCAAGTTCTCCCAGCTTCCTACCACTTCCCTCGGTACCAAAAAGAATCTTCCAGTTTCTCCCCGAAAACTTTTGTGTCGTTGAGCGGAAGGGCGTGGGCGGGGGAAGGTGAAGAGGACTTAGGACATGGGAGCATTTGTTAGAAGTCGACAAGTCGGAGAAATTTACTCGCCCACGCAAAAAAAATTTCCTCACGTTCAGATGCGACAATGCGCGCACACTTATCGCGAGATTCTCCCAAACGAAGGTACACAGTTTCGACTGTACCGTTCTTCCTCACCCATTATAGCCCTGACATTGACCCGTCCGAATACCAGTACTTTTAGTCCTGGTTCATCATCCGGAACGATGCAACATCTCAAAATAGCCTCTAGGCGTCAACTGATAGGAGGGCGCAGAGTTTTGAAGGGTTCAAATCGCCTGGATGTTGGCAGTATGTCGTTCACACCGATGGCGGGCACTCACACAAGTAAATAGAGAGCCTAGAAATCAAATATCAATTTGAATATGCATCATAGATTACTGGCTCTTCCCCTAGAGACGGAGAGGGCGTGGTTCATTTGAAAAATGGTGCAAGGCGCGTTTTCCATGAAATTATATCGTGAGAGAACCTATAATCCTCTCTCGTGCTGACAGGATCATACTTTTAATCGCTCCGCAAACAGTAACATCCTTCCAAAAGTGCAACCGCTTCCTCTTTTAAATGAATTCGCCGCCGCGCCCACTCATCTCCATGATATGGCGGAGCAATATCGCACGTAAGCGAATATGC